TTGCATTCGTACAATCATCGTTCGGAAAATTACGACGCACATTTATTCACAGAATATGTAACCTTCTAATATTGTAACATTAACGCTACACATCCATCGCCGTTCATCCAACGGCCGGCTTCAAAAAATATAAGCAGTATCTTGAATCGTTTCGCTAGGGTTCGCATAAATTAACTTAACATTACTTGAAGAAATGATTTGTATATTTGCATGCGATAGATGAGCAGCACTTGTGTTTTTTTTATTCTATTTGTTCGAATGAAATAAAGTGAAATGAAAATGAAACGTTTTCATTACTTCTCGGTTTACCTAATAAATTTCTATTGTTATATCATAATGGTTTACTTTAAATTCATAGTTTTATTACATCTCAATATTATATCTGTCATCATAGATTTGTTTGAACAAATTTTAAGGGGATTATAATTGTTATAAGAACATATTTTACTAGTATACATTTTAATACTTAATTAGTATTACCGTCAGTTTTAAATCAGCCATATAAATTATCAATCAAATAATTTACCTAGCTCGAATCGGTAAATAATAATAATAAAGCTAGAAACTTGTATTGATCGATTCAAAACGTTAGTTAAATTTCAAAATTATAACGTCAAATTTAACGTTATAAATTCAAATTATAATTTGCGTCGTTGTGTTGTTTCTTAACGTGATTATGATGCGGTAGATTCCCCCATACAGTTGATTTAGATTTTGGTGTCCAAGTTTTGACAAATTCAATGTTCTTATGCGTCTCTGCAATCTGCATATGCCTTGGTCCTCGGTCGGTTTTAGCCAACAGTTTCAGCATTTTGCCGCTACATCAAGTGGCGTTGTACCGATAGAGGAATGGAGCTTCATTGTTTTTCCAACAGTGGCGCCATATATGCGGAATGTAGAGTCACTTGAAAACATTAATGGCCATCTGATTACCACGTTTTCAGATCGTTAGAGGAATTAATTAAAAAGTAAAAACTTGAAGAACGTTGAACCAGCGAAAACGTGTATTTGGAATAGTTTTTCAATCCAAAATCAAAGGACTTTTTTAAAAAAAGGGATCCAACAACTGCTTATACGCTGGTAAAAGTTGTTTGAAATATGCTGCAAATTATTAGCTTTATTAAAATCTAGGATTTGTTTAATAAATAAATGTTTTTCTCCAATAAAGACAACGAAACATTTTTCATTACTTTTCGGTTTACTTAATAAATTTCTATTGCTACGTTATAATGGCTTTCTTTAAATTCATAGTTTTATTACATCTCTCATTATAGATTTTTTTGGACAAATTGTAAGGGGATATAATTGATGGATGGATTTGATATGATATGATATATATGTATATCGTCCCACGCTACGGATCAAGCAGGAGTAGAACCGATTTCTGTAGTCAAACTCTAGATGGCTCTATTCACGAAAGCCCTTCGGTGGTATAGTACTACATATTGTCGCCTGGTGTCAACTCCCAAGGAATTTTAATTTGTAATCATTACGGTTATGTTCTTCGGTGTTGTCGCAGTATTAATGATAAACCGATACAATTATTCCTTTTAGAAAAAGTGTTTGGGTAGATTGTTTAGGCATTTCCTAAAATTCCGGTAAGAGAATTTATCCCACGTTATCGCAATTATATATATTTTCGTATTGATCTTATAATATAACCACTTTTAGAAGTAAGAATCATGTCTTCGTGGAAGAAAGCAGCGAAATCAACGCAAAAATCTCATAGAGAGAGACATCAACCCGAGTCTCGTAATCATTTAGGTATTCTGGAGAAGAAAAGAGATTACGTTGCCAGGGCCAAAGATTACCAAGAGAAACAAAAAACATTGAAGCTTCTACGTAAACGTGCCCTGAATAAAAATCCAGACGAGTTTTACTGTCACATGATCAACTCTAAGATCGAAAACGGAGTGCATAGAGAAAAAAGCAAAGACGATTCTTCGACTCCGGACCAAATAAAGTTGATGGAGACTCAAGATATTCGCTACGTTTCTCATAAGAGAACCATAGAAGCCAAGAAGATAGACAAGCTACAAAGTCGGTTACATATGATCGATGCTGCGAACGAGATTCCAAACAAGCACATATTCTTTCTGGACGATTCGGAAGAAATGAAAAACTTTGATTTAGCAAAAAGGCTGGACACGCATCCGGCGCTAATAAATAGACGTACGAATAGGCCCAAGTTGAGCAGATTAAAGGGCATGAAGATGCCGGAAATAGATGTAAAAACATTGAATAAAATTGAACAGCAAAAACATATGTCTTACAAAGAGTTGGAAAAAAGGATCGACAGAGAACGCGAGTTGACTATCGTCCAGCAGAAGTTAGAAATGCAAAGAGCATTGAAAGATAAGAAGATTACTAAACCTAAACTAATATCCAAAGGCACTAAGGATTCTGCTCCGATATACAAATGGAAATTCGAAAGAAAACGATAGCTCGTATTCGGTCTCTTTTTTAATGAATCTTTTTCAAATTACTTTTCTTTTTATCTCGATCAATCTTTTTCATATGATACAACTATTTCTAATCGATTAACGCATTGTCTCCAGGCAGTTGTTTCGCAATTGTCAAGAATTTCTTATATATATATATATATATATATATATATATATATATATATATATATATA